GCTTGTCGCAAAAACCAATTGCTATGTAATTCAAAGTGTCACCAATCTTTAGATTGCACTAATAAGTAAGTACAATTTTGTCATATGTTTTGCAAATTCATTTCCCTAATTGTAATAATATTTTAAACCGTTTGATTTTTGTATTAAAGTCTTTTTAATTGATTGATGATTGATTCAATCAACTAATTTGTTGATTGTATTAATTGTACTCCTATCAGATTTCAATTCTCTTTTTCCAACCTTCTCTATGGTTGTTGCAACCTGAATTTAAGTAATAAGATTTAATGCTAAAATTTAGACATAAGAGTGTAAAATGTGCATGTTTCTATTTCTTTGAACCTCTCGAATACGAATTACTGTTATCTTTTAGAAACTTTTTAACATGAGGTCTGCCAGAATATGCTGGTTTTCATAAACTTCCTGAATAAATTTGTGATGTGCACGTATAAAGGATTTCTCAATGCTCGTAGGGACAGGAATAATTTTTCTGAAGATTTTTCGAAAGATTTTAAAGATTGAGACATAAATAAATATTTAGAGAATAAAAATCTTATGTATAAAATTCTCCTGTCACAATGTTAGTTACCTTACTCCTCCGAAACGGCTTTACCGATTTTTACCAAATTTTATATGCATATTCAGTAGGTCTGAGAATCGGCTACTATCTATTTTTCATACCCCTAAGTGATAACGGTTGTTCACCCTTAACATTTTTTTTAACTAATGAATGACGAACAAAGAACCATTTATGACCGCATTATGCTCGCAGTTTCAGCAGGACAAGGTGGGTTCTTCTTTTTGGATGCACCGGGTGGAACTGGCAAAACATTCCTTATTTCGCTAATTCTTGCTGAAATACGATCAAATAATGGCATCGCATTGGCCGTTGCATCATCGGGCATTGCGGCAACTTTATTGGATGGAGGCAGAACAGCTCATTCAGTATTTAAGCTGCCACTAAATATTCAAAATAACCCTGACGCAGTATGCAACATTAAAAAACAATCGTCCATGGCCACCGTGCTGATACAGTGTAAAATTATCATCTAGGATGAATGTACTATGGCACACAAACATTCGCTTGAGGCGTTGAACAGGACATTGAAAGATATTAAAAACAACGACAAACTATTTGGTGGCACTCTGTTGGTCCTTTCAGGAGATTTCAGACAAACACTTCCCGTCATTCCACGTTCAACATACGCTGATGAGATCAACGCTTGCTTAAAATCATCTCCATTGTGGCGTAATGTTGAAAAACTACAGCTGAAAGTAAATATGCGCGTTCAAATGCTTCAAGATCCATCCGCTGAAACATTCTCAAAACAACTCTTAAATATCGGTGATGGAAAAGTTGCTATAGATGAAACTGGATACGTAAAATTACCGACCGATTTCTGCACAATCGCTGATTCGCAAGATACTCTCATTGAACAAATATTTCCCGATGTACACACACAGTACATAAATCATGAGTGGCTTGCAGAAAGAGCAATTTTAGCGGCAAAAAATGTAGACGTTGACAATTTAAATCTGAAGATACAACAGTTGTTGCCAGGGAACTTGGTATCATACAAATCTATTGATACAGTTTGCGATGCCAGCGAAGCTGTAAATTTTCCCACAGAGTTTTTGAACTCACTGGATTTGCCAGGCATGCCACCGCATAATTTACAATTGAAGGTTGGATCTCCGATTATCTTGCTTCGTAATTTGAACCCGCCACGGCTGTGCAACGGTACGCGATTAGTCATTCAAAAATTAATGAAAAACGTTATCGAAGCCAGCATTTTAAATGGCAAGTTCCGAGGTGAAAATATATTAATACCACGGATTCCTATTATACCTACAGATGTGCCAATTCAATTCAAACGTATTCAGTTTCCGATTAGATTGGCATTTGCAATGACTATCAACAAATCCCAAGGCCAAACGATGTCTATTTGTGGCTTAGATTTGAGCACACCATGTTTTTCACACGGACAATTATACGTGGCATGCTCTCGAGTGGGTAAACCATCCAGTTTGTTTGTGTTAGCTAAAGATGGGCTAACAAAAAATATTGTTCACGCTATAGCATTAAGAAATTGATATTGTTTGTTACTTTTTTAAATTAATTAATTAAATGGGAAAATTGGCTCTTATTTAGAAACACAAAGAAAACTGGAAAAAGTGAATGTGGCCAGCGCGTTAGTGTAGCGCCAACCCATGACCTCAACCGCTTTGGTCATCTTTCAGAAAATTTTGTTATTATTTTAGAATGCCCTAAAACATTTCCCATTAAAAGTTTTACAACGTTCGAACTCACATAGGTCTAGGCTAAATTACTCATTATATTAAGAGTTCACGAAGTACTATATATGTTTGTGTGAATGATGCATAAAATTAGTAAAAACAAACAAAATTGTTCATTACGTCAGAAAATCACTATATCAAGAATCCATTGTACAATACATAACAAGATATTTTAGAGATGTTTCATACATTTTTTATTACAGCAATGTAGCAACGATATTTTATTATTAAAATCTTTTTATATTTATAATCATTATAAAATGAAAAAAAGAACTTAATTTTGAGAGTAATATGAGTTTTATAAATATTTGTAAATGCTAATAACGAGAAAAATCGTCATTAAGTCTGACCTTACTCGAAATATGTCACACGATATTTAATAAGGATTAGTTTGTTCAAAAACATTAAATATACATTATTTAGTTAGAGAATAAAAATAAATTTAAAAAATGTTGTTATAATCTCACACAGTATTGTTTAATTTCATTACTTTAAATTTATTTTTTTTTTTAAAAAAAAGCTATAAATTTGGCATTACAGCACCCTATTTTGATACGGAGACAACTTTTTCCTCTACTTCTGCTTCGTCCGAATCGTTATCAGCCCAAGGTTGCAATTCGGCTGAGCCAAAAACCAGGAAGATGACCAACCCCAATAAACAAAATCCCGCCGAGAGATAGTAGACGTAACTCCATTGCACCATGCTTCCTTGCTGTAAACAGAATGAAACCATTATCAATCAAATTTCATTACAATAAGAATCCATTAAGAAACTTTCGTAATAAATGTAAATTTTATGAAGTTTTTATGATAAATAAGCTTGTTTTTATCAATAAAATTTATTTACATTTTTATCTAGGAACAGCCCAGCTATATACGGCGATAAGAAGCCAGAAATTGTTGCCATTCCGTTAGTCAATCCGTACAAAGGCCCTGAAACGTAAGAAATATTATATTTTCAATTGTTTAAAACTTAAGAATAAATCGAAATATGCTTTTCATCGTTATTGAGAATGCTAATAACGAGTAAAATTTTATTAACTCTGATTCCACTCGAGATACAATCCTTACCCTTACTTTCCTGTTATATCCAAAATGTAATATCATTAATTAATGCCCCACATAAAAATGTCGTGCGAAATTTTAAAATTTTTGGTCCACGAGTCTTGAAATTTATAGCGAAATACAGGGTAACATACGTACACATACATAACTTTATATGTATTAAATATATATAAAGACATTCAATAATCTGAAAAAATTTTCACGGAATTTCATGAAAAATAATAAAAAGTTAAGGAAATTCCAACAAAATCGAAGTTTCTTAAAGTCTGTTTTGAAATTTTGAACTTTCTTCCTAAAAAGAAGTCTAAAAAAACAAATTCGTGAATAGAAGAAAACAAAACAATCGAGAAATATGTAAAGTAAATAGTAAAACACTGAAGAACATAAATGAACAAATTGAATAAACTACATACATGTTTTGAGCTGCAGAATTTTAACATGTAATGAAGTAACTATGATTAATGTTTACCTGTATATTTAGGTGCCATATTCAGAATAATTGGGATGTCACCGCCACCAACAAAACCCATGAAGCCAGTTGTCATGATAAGTATTATTATGACGTTTGTTGAATCACATCCAACCAGAGGAATGCATATCATGCATACACTGGTTCCTATAATAGCTAAATGATACAATAAGTTAATTATAATCAAAACTTTCTATTGTGTAATTAGAATATTAACACTTACAAAGTGTCTCGAAGCCTTTTCTGACGTTTGTTGCGCTGAAATATTTACGCTTAATAAATAAATCTGATAAGTAACCAGATATAATGAGGCCAAACGTATTTGCTGTATGCATGAATGCGTTTATTAAGCCATTCTGTAAAGAAATGAATTTATTAATGTAAATTTTCTTTTAAAAATATTCTTTAAAATAGCCAGACGTTACCTGCTGTATTGGGAAATGTAGGACATTCTCGAGATACGATGGTAATTTTGATAGAAAAGTAAAAAAACCCCAACAAAAGAACAATTTTACAATGCATGTCGCCCATACTGGAACAGATGTTAAAATACTCTTCCAAGGAATTTTCTGGTTGTGTTAAATATGCAAAATTATCTTAGCATTGTCTCAAAACATTTTAAAACCCAATTTACAATATACCTTTATATTATAAGAATTAATATTCGAGTTTTGTCGTATATGAAGAATCTCTTTTTGAGTAATGCCTGAAAATTCTTCCGGATAATCATATACAAAAAATAACAAACCGAGAGACAAAACACATCCATAAATACCTGAAATATAATAAATGTAATTGTTTAACATTGGTGAACAATAATTAACTCTATAGAATAGATTAATTACCAAAAACGTAGAATGCTGAAGGCCAACCACCCGAGAAACCATATTCGCACAAGTAACCAGACAGTATCATGGGAATTATGGAACCAACTAAATCTCCACTTATGCAAATAGCCATTAATGTACTTCGTTCGTTAACTGGAGACCATCTTGAAAGTATAGTAAATCCTGATGGATACGTCAGTCCCTAAAGTTAATAGGAAAAAAAATGACTTTCAAGATATTAAAAATTTAAATGTAGTTTAAGTCACTTACTTGCAACGCTCCTAAGATAACTCTCTGACATGACAAGGCCGCTATACCGAGTTCGGCTATAAATGGTGTTATCGATAATAACGCCGACGATAAAAACACAGTAATGATGTAAGTGCGCTTGACACCTAACAGATGAACTACAAAACCTCCAAAAAACTGGAAAATGACAAAACCATAATAGAAGCTTCCTAAAATAATTCCTTGTTCGGGTTGACTCCAAACGAATTTTCCCTACAGTAAACAAAATACAGCGATTAATCAGAGGAATCCTGTGTTATGTGTAATGTACGATACGACACTCACTTCTCTGTAATTATACGAGATATTTTGATTTTCAACACTATCAGGGCATTCGTGAAGTAGAGTATTTTCAGTTTCGCTCATCTCGACCGCCGAATTATTTACCATGGCTACAATAGCTACGTTCAGCACGACAATATGAGCATACATCTCCATACATACCAAAAAAATAAAGAAAACCAGCACATATCGTGCAGGTAAGATTCCTATAACAAAAAAAAAACAAGGAAAGCGAATTGAGAAAGTGATAAAATTATGTTACGCTCCAATTTTTTTAAAAAAATTAAATAATATTTTACAGCGTAGATAAGAGATGTATCAAGTTTTAAAAGTTACTTACTGTATAAGGCTTTTCCTTCGCGTACGTCCTGCTTCATTTTGAAGTATGAAGCTCTCGAATGGACTGATGTCACCTTTGTATAGCAGCTTACGTCACTCAGCTTTTGTAATTTCAGCAACTGTATTATAATCCAGCATGAGTGATATATAACCCGCTATCTACAGTCAAAATCCCGTTTCGACAGTTTTAAATTTAAATGTTACTACCAAAGAAATGGATTGCAACTTAATTTGCTTACGTCGAAACCATCTACATATATGTAGATATATTTTTCTTATATGTTATAGAAATTTAATATTGCAGGGGTGTGGTTTATATTTGGGATTTCCTAATTTATAACTTATTATTAAATGAAGTTTTTTGTTTGTCAGTCTGAGTAGACGGTTTGTTTTACATTTTGGATTGAATTACTTGCACTGATATCCCCTCTCCTGTTTAAGAACACGTGGAATGAAATTAGCTATTTTTTAACTTAAATAAATTCTAAGTTTTTATAGAAATTTATATTAGGTTGTTGCTATGGCTTCCAGACTTACAACAATTATAATAACTATTATCATTTTGGGTTAATTTTTTATTTTCTCTCCTCTATAGAATTCGTTTGTGAATTAAATATCGAGTGTATTTTTCATTCTGTCTGATTAATTAACAAAGATGTAAACAATTTTTTTGTAATCATAAAATTAAAATTGTCTAGATAAAATTATCAAAATCTTCGTAATAAATCTAATGTCCACAAAACAATTTTAAGAATAAATTTATACCCTTTTTTTCTGTACACGAAACAAGAACGTAACTAATTTTATGTACAGCACATCACCTTACAGTTCTTCATTCTCTGTAAACGTCGCCATTTTGATTTAAAACGAAATGAAACTATTAAGTACTACATTGGTGGCTTGCTACAGAAGAAATATAAAAATTTACTTGCATAAATTTTATATAATGAAAGTACAAATTTTTCCATCGCAAACACACGAAAGTATGATATAAATTTCTTCAAATTTTCATTGGAAAAACGCAACTTTTTATGTAACATTTATACTAGTGGTCACACGATATATCTCGTGAAGAGTCAGACCTAATTAATAAAGATTTTACTTGTTGTTATCATTTATAGTGTTTTATAAAACCCATATCTACCTTCAAAATTAAAACTTTTACTATTTTGTAATAATTAAAAATATATAAATACGTTATAAAAAAATTACACAATAGATGGTGCCACATACAATTTATTTGTTTTATTTTCATTAGTAATAGAAATGTTATTTTTAAAATAAAATCTCATAAAAGACGGAAAAGTTACACAACCTGTTGTCTAATTTTTTATAACTCTGGAAACTGTTCACTTGGATATCAGTTTAAAATTATGCTGCCATTTTCAATTTGGTAAGTAGATTTCCCGATTTTCAAAAATTTAATAATTTATAAGATAAGTGAACATTGGCTCATTTGAAAATTTTCAGTTTTAACGATATAAACAGCCAATCCTGGATATAATCCGTATCTAAATAGTGCCACTTAAGTAAAGCACTAGAGCAGTGGTTCCCAACCTTTTTTCATTAGCGTACCCCGTGACATGTCATATCTCTGGATTGTACCCCGTGACATGTCATATCTCTAGATTGTACCCCTCATTTAAGAAATTTAGTGAGTAACCATATTGTTAATTTTACATATTGTAACTTTAAATTAAAGAGAAAAAATCTAAAAGAAAAAATGTATAATAAAGTTGTGATTGTTGCAAGGAACCATTTTTTATCTAATAATTTTTTAATACTATTAGTTTGTGATACATAATATATTATTTTTTCTGCCATAATAACTAACTTTTTTCTGTACCCCTAAACAACCTATCGTGTACCCCTAGGGGTACGCGTACCACAGGTTGGGAATCGCTGCACTAGAGTATATTTGGTGCCATTGAAATAATCATCTGTACGTACTTCAGTCAATATCTGTGTTACAAACACCATATCTATGAAATGTGATTTAGTTGTAGGTTTGACATCAATTTTACGCCAAACTTTGTGTTTTTAAAATTTATGACTAATTTTTTTTCTTTAAATCGATGTTAAAATTTATGAGATAACCTTACAGTTTATAGAAAGTGTAAAAGATGTCTGTACAATTTTTTTTACTATTTGCAGTGCCAGTTGTTTACGTTCTACATTCTACTATTTCTTCTCATTTTTAAAATATACGTTCATAATATTCGGGGAGCATTTAGCCATCACATGCAACCAACCACTGCTGTTCATTATTTATGTTTCATTATGTTTACAAACATGCTTTTGCTAATAACTCACAGAATGACTCATGGAATACATATTGTAAGTAGATTAATATGTTTATAGTGTACCATTTAAAGCGAGGATGACATTTAATTAAATAAATCGTTTCGCGATATCATTGTTTAACCATTTATCATTGTCATACTTTCATTCGAAAAATAAAAATTTAACATCCCTGTCGGACACTCGTTAACATTCTTTCGAATTCGGTCACACACAGTAATAACGGGAATTGCACTGATCACTTAGTTACTATTTTTAACTGTTTTTTTGTTTCCACCTGTGTGTATTACTAGGATGATCTGTAAAGCTCACTGTGGGTTCGGCCAGACATACATTACGAAGGCCGAATGGGATGAATAAAAAAATTTCTGCATGTTTCGACCTGCCCGAATTCGTTTCTGCAGAAGCTTAAAACCAGTCATCAACTGTCTGATATTTATTTCCATAATAATTCAAAAAAAAGGAGAAATTTAGGAGTTAAATAAGATCCATTAACGAGAGTCTGCAATACTGTAAATCGATTGGCAATAAATAAATTAAGTACACACCATTAGCAATAGTACAACAAACCAGCGATCGAAATAACTTTTCAATGCAAATTCATTACGTTGCAAAACACTAATGATCACTTTACCATGCGTTTACTTTATTGAATGGACCCATAATGAACGAATTTGAATGTTCATATATGAATAATCTACTATAGTAATTGTCATTGATATTAACTTATTAATAACTTTGTACATTTTTATGCAGGGCCGTGCGGTAGATTTTCTAAGTATGATGCAAGTCTTCGAAATGCCACCAATTATGTTTTTTTGCCGCCCTTATATAAATTTTTAGTCTTATATAGGCTATAATTCTTATTCTTTGGTGTATTTTACCAGGGCCGTGCGGTAGATTTTCTATAAGTATGATGCAAGTCTTTGAAATTCTACCCCTTAAATGTTTTTTATGTCGCCCCCTCACAGTGCCGCCTGATGCGGCCGCATCTCTGCATCATAGCACGGCACGACCCTATTTTTATGTTAATTAATTTATTCACTAAGAGACAATTAATAACAGTCATTTAATAATGCACTGATTTCAGTTGTGATGCCACTACTTTTTGAAATATTAATCCCTGCAGCAAACACGAGAATATCATCTAGATGCTGTGGCTCTGTGAAGATATTAACAATTATTCTATTGCTAACCGATAAAATTAAAAAAAAAACCACAGAACTGTAATAAGTTTTAGCTATTCCAGTTTCACTGAATACAATCGATTACAGATGTATCCCTTTATGTTGGACATTTAGTTGAACTATTTTAAGTTTGAAACTTTATCTATGGCCGAGTTTCGTAGATACGAAATATGTCTTAGTTGTCTGTTGCAGTCTCGTATGTCCACTGCACTAATTTACGGATGGAACTTTTTCGCTCCATGCTACTATTGTCGACAGTTTCATACTAAACATAAATTAATGCAAAAGTTCTTCTTATGCTTTGTGGGATTTATATATTGGGAACATTCCTTCTTACTATTCTTAATGACAATACTTTCTGTAGCAGAAAATACGCCTTGCTTTGGCTGGTATTTAATGGTAAATTATAACATTTTCGTCAGGTACAGTTTTACCATAGTATATTTGGCAATGTCGCTCACTTTTTCTGTTGTAAAACGCAAAAAAAAAACATTAATCCGATAATCATATTAATAAAACCAGATAATTTGCCAATTGAAGATTTAAACAAGTCTATTCACAAAATTAGTGTCATCGTGCGCATAATCCTGCTTTCTTTCACATGTGCACTGCCAATTTTCAATATCTATGTCACATATCCAGCATTAGATAAAACTAACGAAAACAATTTTATGATTCTCTTCTGTAATGGGGAGTTTGGGGTTTTAGTGAACTTTATTATTGGAGAATTCATTTATTTTTCATTTTTTCTTTTATTTTTATACTTGATTACGAAGAAAGCGTTTCAAAGAGTATCAAATGATTTAAGGTGTCTTTCAAATTTATACGGACACGAAAAAATTAAAGTGAAACCCTAATTTGCTGCATTAAGTGACAAATGTTTTATTAAAAATAACATGGATTTACATGTTTCCACACTGCAAAGTAAGAATTTTAATCAAACATTAACATTTTGTCACTGAAAATTCTTTTTTGAAAATTCTATACAAAAAACCTGTCACATATTTATACGGACAAGTTTCAAATTGCAAAGTTTTCTTACAATTTAATGGCCAATGTAACCACCATTTAACTTAATTGCATTAAATACTCGATTAGGCATTGTTTCAATTAGATTCTGAAGGAATTCAATCTTAAGTTTATCCCAAGCATCTGAAATTGCTGCCTTCGAATCATGAATTGTGGAAAACTGCTTTCCATTGGCATAAACTGTCCGAACTATCATCCCCAAAGATTTTCCATTGGATTCAGGGTAGGGCTTCTAGCAGGCGATGTCATCAGATTAATATTTTTACGTTTAAACCACATTTTTGTTGATTTATAGGCATTCACAGGGGCATTGTCTTGTTGAAAGATCCAATTTGGTCCAGCTTCCAATAAATGATCTTCAAGCATGCCTCGACACTTCTCTGAATTCATTCTTTGAGTTATAAATGCTAAATCTGTGGTTCCATTGAATCCAAACGCACCCCACACTATTATTGATCCACCACCCATTTGGCGTTTTGAAAATATTTGTTTTTCGGTTCTTAAATAGTGCCAATAATAGGCCTACTTTCAATCATCTGGACGATCTAAGATGAATTGTTTTTCATCACTGAATTTTTAGTCTTATATAGGCTATAATTCTTATTCTTTGGTGTATTTTACCAGTTGGACCATACCTTCAATCCATTCTTTGGACTGTCATGTGTTTTTGTGCCCAATCAAGTCTGTCACTTTAGTACTTTAATAGATATGGTGGCATTACAGCTTTTTTTTTTCTGAATTTTAACGTTGGAGATTTATTTAAAACTTTCCACAATGTTGTGCTGCTACAAGGTAAGTCTAATTCTTGTTTTATTTTTCTTACTGATGTTTGTTTTGTGGAGCAAACCTTGATGATTTGTCTTCAATCTCGAGGTATAAGCTTGGGTTTTGAACCTGTCTTGAATTTTGGTACATCCTAGCCACGTCTTTTTGATAAATAATCACAAACAGTTTATGTTGGATGATTTATATATGCTAAAATTTCTCTTATTGACTTGCCTTGTGATTTATAGGCATCAATCAGCCCTTTTTCATAATCAGATATATTCTTTGTTCTACCCATTTTAGAACGTTGAACAACATAAAGAATTTGTATTACAATTAGATATGTAAACTAATTTGCATATTTCAATTCTTGAAACTAAACAATATTCTATTTAAGTCATGAAATGAGTGCCTGTCCGGATAAATATGTAATAGTTTTTTGTATAAAATTTTCAAAAATATTATTTTCAGTGACAAAATGTTAATGTTTGATTAAAATTCTTATTTTGCAGTGTGGAAACATCTAAATCCATATAATTTTTAATAAAACATTTGTCACTTAATGCAGCAAATTTGGGTTTCATTTTATGTTTTTCGTGTCCGTATAAATTTGAAACACACCTTAAATTAATTAATTGACGAAAATTAGCCTAAATTGGAAAGTTATATTTCCACACAGTATAAATATTAATACTTACAAATTAATTTTGAATTAATTAAATAATTTAGATAATTTTAGAAGATTTATTATGCCATCTGTAACAATATACAGTAGAGCATCGTTTATCCGAATCAGTTGCGGACTGGAGTTGTTCGGATAACTTATTTTTCGGATAACCGATTATGTACGAAAAAATATATTAACCTATCTTGTGTTGAAATTTTTCTCCGTTGCGTGTCGCTACGCGTTGAATTTTCGTGGATGTTAAGCCTAACGTAAACTTTTTAAAATAATAATCGTGGCTATTGTATGGTTAAAAATGATTTCTTTGTTTTACAAACGAAATAAATACATTGAAAAATATAAAAACAAATAAAAATTATACTTTAGGCCGACTGGAATTCTTTCGGATAACTGATGTTTCGGATAAACGACGCTCTACTGCACTTTCATAAAATGTATATAAAACTAATTTTATTAACCAACAGAATTTGTTCTAAATATACGTGGTTAGGACATTATTTTTAATCTTCATAGGCATCATTAATTCCATTTTTACTTTCCCGAATGTTATATATAACAAAGGGGAATGTATTATTATAAATGTTAGTGTGTGTTTGAGTGGCATCATTTTTTCACCATTTGTAGCTTAATAATTCCTGTTCTTTTTGTCGAAAATATCTGAAATTATGCGGGGAGGTTTGTTTATTAGTGGAATTGATGCTATTAATTTTGGTGGTTAAAGGTTGAGGGATGGAAAAATAATGGGTACAGTGTATATCTCCAGTAGGATTGGACTTAATTTAATGACGATTGTACTCGTTATTAGCACTTACAAATTTTAACAAAAATCCCTACCATTTGCCACTATAATATTTAAAAATATAAAGTTTTTTAAACAGAATATGATAACAGATAGCGCCACCAAATGTTGCCGGGAAAGTTAAGCAAGTTGTTGCTGTGTTTTTTCAGTGTTGCTGCTTTTTCCCGATTTGACTTCATGTTCTGAATGGGATGTTACCTTCCTGTTTAATAGAGATACGGGAATTAACTTCCTCTCCATTGACGAGTTAACTCATCAAGTTTACATAGCGTTACAAAAAACTCGGTTGTTTGGAACCTCTGAAATTTGTTTAATTTTATTTTTGGGTGTTTTTTAAGTCTCCAAAATTAATGCAAAATTTTTTTTCCGATTTTACAAATAAGCGTACGTGTGCCGGGCTGAGAACGGCTCACGTATTTGTAAAATCTAAGTAAGTCGTACAACATAGAACTCGGAATCTTGAGTTCTCGAGAAATGAAAAAAAAACGAACGAGGATACCGGGGGGGATTTCCTCAGAAATTTCTTCCCAACAAAAATGTTTGAAGTTAATATTATACATGGGGCCACCTAATTCAAATTTACCTGGGGCTGTATGAAGATATAACGCGCCATTGCATGTATGGATGTTAGTGTGTGTAGGAGGGTACGATTTTCTTCAACCATTTTGAAGGATAATAACTCCCGTGTCTTTTGTTGAAAAGTTTCAGAAATTTTGCATTAAGATTTGTGTATTAGGGCATTGATGCTATTTGATTTTGGTGGTTAAAGATCAAAGGTGTGGAAAGATAGGATATCTCGAGTGGAATCGGACTTAATGAAGATTATACTCGATATTAACTTTCACAATTTTTTTTTAAAAAACTCACCTGTATCCTCACAATTAAACTTTGTGACTCATTGCTCTCGACATTGATACATAGTACTCTTTGCCATGGATGTTTTCCACGTTGGTTCGGATCTTATTGCAGAAATTCAAGAGCTTGTGATCAAGAGAAGGCAGAACATTTGTGATGACGGAAGTTTTCTTTTGGATAATGGGTACGACATCATTATAGATTTAATGTAAGGCATGACTAGGCATATATTGCGCACTCAATATGAAAGTGTATTTTCCAACCTTCAAATACAAAATAATGCATCCTGAATTACTCAATGTAGTAGCCAATTGACATTATTTCCTGACTCAATTCCACTTTAAAAAAATTAAGAATGAAAAATCCAGCAGGAAGTTGCTTAACTTTCCTGACATTTAAAACATCTAATATGGCGCCATCTGTTACGATATTTTATTATTAAAATCTTTTTATATTTATAATTACTATAAAATGGAAAAAAAAACTTAATTTTGAGAGTGGTATGAGTTTTATAAATATTTGTAAATGCTAATAATGAGAAAAATCGTCATTAGGTCTGACCTTACTCGAAATATGTCACACGATATTTAATAAGAATTAGTTTGTTCGGAAACATTAAATATACATTATTAAGTTAGAGAGTAAAAATAAATTTAAAAAATGTTGTTATAATCTCACACAGTATTGTTTAATTTCATTACTTTATATTTATTTTTCTAAAAAAGACTATAAATTTGGCATTACAGCACCCTATTTTGATACGGAGACAACTTTTTCCTCTACTTCTGCTTCTTCCGAATCGTTATCAGCCCAAGGTTGCAATTCGGCTGAGCCAAAAACCAGGAAGATGACCAACCCTAATAAACAAAATCCGGCCGAGAGATAGTAGACGTAACTCCATTGCACCATGCTTCCTTGCTGTAAGCAGAATGAAACCATCAATCAAATTTCATTACAATGAGAATCTATTAAGAAACTTTCGTAATAAATGTAAATATTATGAAGTTTTTATGATAAATAAGTTGGTTTTTATCAATAAAATTTATTTACATTTTTATCTAGGAACAGCCCAGCTACATATGGTGATAAGAAGCCAGAAACTGTTGCCATTCCGCCAGTCAATCCGTACAACGGCCCTGAAATGTAAGAAATATTATATTTGCAATTGTTTAAAACTTAAGAGTAAATAGAAATATGCTTATTTTACAATTCATATTACAAATTTTACGTTTATATGGTTGACCGAGATGTATATTGTTATGTTAAGGTTATTTCAAACGTTATTTTAAATAATCTCGAGATTTATTGTATGCCTCTTTTAAGATAAATTATCGCTAATACGAAACGTTTTTATCATTTGCAACAACCTTGTCAAATTTAATATCATTAATTTAACTCTATGAGTGGATATTGCAATTTTATCCGCAAGGAAAACTACAAACAAACAACTTCCAACGTCTTTTAATTAAGGATAAATTTGTAAAAGATTTGAGAAATATTAGAGAAAAATACTAAAGAAATTAATTAAGAGGATTTTAGGGAAAATAATAACAATGGCAATTGAACGACTCCTATCAATCTAACGGAAGGTTAAGGGACCAGAAAGTCCGATAATTTTCAATTAATTTCAAAAAGGTCTTATCTGTTGAGGTAAGAGCAAGTGTTTAAAAACATTGGCAATGCCAATAACGAGTAAAATTTCATTAACTCTGACTCCACTCGAGATACTATCCTTACCTTTACTTTCCTGTTATCTCCAAAATGTAATATCATGTAATACCCCACATAGAAGTGCCGTGCCAAATTTCAAAATTTTCGGTCCACGGGTCTTGAAATTTACAGCGAAATACAGACCAACGTACGTACACATACATAACTTTATATGTATCAAATATACAGTAGAGCGTCGTTTATCTGAATCAATTCGGGACTGGGGTTGTTCGGATAACTTATTTTTCGGATAACCGATTATATATGAAAAATATATTAATCTATCCCATGTTGAAATTTTTTCTGCTTTGCGTGTCGCTTCGCGTTGAATTTTCGTCGATATTAAGCATAACGAAAACTTTTTAAAATAATAATCGTGGCTATTATATCGTTAAAAATTATTTTTTTATTTTTTATAAACAAAATATATATATTGAAAAATATAAAAACCAAAAAAGTGTACTTTAGAAGTTGATCTAGTATCAAAAACGTTCGATTCAGCACGACACAGTCTTCAGAAAAAAAAACACCATACAAAAGTGCCAGTGCTGCCAGCTAAAACACACACACCAACAAAAAAAAATATTGGAATAGCCCAAGATATAGCCAAAGATTGCAGCGCAACAGCTCTAACGAAAATTTAAATTTGCCGACTGGAAAACTTTCGGATAAACGACGCTGTACTGTATATAAAGGCCTTCAAAAACCTGAGAAAATTTTCACAGAATTTCATGAAAAATAATAAAAGAGTTGAGGAAATTCAAACAAAATCGAAGTTTCTTGAAGTCTTTTTTGAAATTTTTCAATTTTTTCCTAAAAAGAAATCTAAAGGAAACAAATTCGTGAATAGAAGAAAACAAAATAATCGAGAAATATGTAAACAGTAAAACACTAAAGAAAATAGATGAACAAATTGAATAAACTACATACATGTTTTGAGCTGCAGAATTTTAACGTGTAATGAATTAAGTATGATTAATGTTTACCTGTATATTTAGGTGCCATATTCATAATAATTGGGATGTCACCGCCACCAACAAAACCCATGAAGCCAGATGTCATGACAAGTATTATTATGACGTTTGTTGAATCACATCCAACCAGAGGAATGCATATCATGCATACACTGGTTCCTATAATAGCTAAATGATACAATAACTTAATGATAATCGAAACGTTACATTGTGTAATTAGAATATTAACACTTACCAAGTGTCTCGAAGCCTTTTCTGACGTTTGTTGCGCTGAAATATTTACGCTTAATAAACAAATCTGATAAGTAACCAGATATAATGAGGACAAACGCATTCGCTGTATACATAAATGCGTTTATTAAGCCATTCTGTAAAGAAATAAATTTATTAACGTGAATTTTCTTCTAAAAATGTTCATTAAAATTGGCAGACGTTACCTGTTGTATTGGGAAATGTAGGACATTATCGAGATACGATGGTAATTTTGATAGAAAAGTAAAGAAACCCCAAGAAAAGAACATTTTTACAAGGCACGTCGTCCATACTGGTACAGATGTTAAAATACTCTTCCAAGGAATTTTCTGATTGTGTTAAATATGCAAAATTATCTTAGCACTGTCTCAAAACATTTTAAAACTCAATTTACAATATACCTTAATATTATTCGTATTATTATTCCAGTTTTGTCGTATATGAAGAATCTCTTTTTGAGTAATGCCGGAAAATTCTTCCGGATAATCATATACAAAAAATAACAAACCGAGGGACAAAACACATCCATAAATACCTGAAATATAATAAATCTAATTGTTTAACATTGGTGAATAATAATTAACTCTATAGAATAAATTAGATAATTACCAATGACGTAGAATGCTGAAGGCCAACCACCCGAAAAACCATATTCGCACAAGTAACCAGACAGTATCATGGAAATTATGGAACCAACTAAATTTCCGCTCAAGCAAATAGCCATTAATGTACTTCGTTCGTTAACTGGAGACCATCTTGAAAGTATGGTAAATCCTGATGGATACGTCAGTCCCTAAAGTTAATAGGAAAAAAATTACTTTGAAGATATTAAAAATTTAAATGTGGTTTAAGTAACTTACCTGCAACACTCCTAAGACAACTCTCTGACATGTCAAGGCCGCTACACCGAGTTCGGCTAGAAGTGGTGTTATCGACAATAACGCCGACGAAAAAAACACAGTAATGACGTAAGTACGCTTAGCACCTAAAAGATGAACTACAGAACCTCCCAAAAACTGGAAAATGACATAACCATAATAGAAGCTTCCTAAAATAATTCCTTGTTCGGGTTGACTCCAAACGAATTTTCCCTACAGTAACAAAATACAGAGATTAGTCAGATGAACACTATATTATGTGTAATATACGATACGACACTCACTTCTCTGTAATTATACGTGATATTTTGATTTTCAACACTATCGGGGCATTCGTGAGGTAGAGTATTTTCAGTTTCGCTCATCTCGACCGCCGAATTATTTACCATGGCTACAATAGCTACGTTCAGCACGATTCTATGAGCATACATCTCCATACATACCAAAAAAATAAAGAAAACCAACACATATCGTGCAGGTAAGATTCCTATAACAAAGAAAAACAAGGAAAGACTATTTGAGAAAGTGAAAAAATTATGTTACGCTCCAATTTTTTTAAAAAAATCAATTAATATTTTACAGCGTAGATAAGAGATGTATCAAATTTTAGAGGTTACTTACTGTATAAGGCTTTTCCTTCGCGTACGTCCTGCTTCATTTTGAAGTATGAAGCTTTTGAATGGTCTGATGTCACTTTTGTATAGAAGCTTACGTCACTCAGCTTTTGTAATTTTATCAACTGTATTATAATCCAGCATGAGTGATATATAACCCGCTATCAACGGTCCAAATCCCGTTTCGACAGTTTTAAATTTAAATGTTACTACCAAAGAAAATGGATTGCAACATAATTTGCTTACGTCGAAATCATCTACGTATATGTAGATATATTTTTTTATGTTATAGAAATTTAATATTGCAAGGGTGTGGTTTATATTTGGGATTTCCTAATTAATAACTTATTATTGAATGAAGTTTTTTAGGGGTTAAAACTTCTGCAATATTGTAATAATTAAAAACATAGAAATACGTTATTTAAAAATTACATAATAGATGTTTTACCACATACAATTAATTTATTTTATTTTCATTAGTAATAGAAATGTTATTTTTAAAATAAAATCTCATAAATGACTGATAGGTTACACAACCTGTTGTGTAATATTTTACAATTCTGGAAACTGTTGACTATTTCTTTTCATTTTTAAAATATACGTTCATAATATTCAAGAAACATTTAGCCATCACATGAAACCAACCACTGTGTTTGAGTGCATCGTTTGAAAACTACTGCTATTCATTATTTACGTTTCATTATGTTTACAAACATGCTTTTGTTAATAACTCAGCATGACTCATAGAACATATAAGTAGATTTAATATGTTTAGAGCTTGTAATGTGTGCCTTTTAAAGCGAGGATGACATTTAATTAAATAAATCATTTCGCGATATCATTGTTTAACATTATGTCATCCTTTAGTTCGAAAAATCGGAATTTAACGTTCCTGTCGAACAGTCGTTAACATTCTAGCACGTAATATCGAATTCGGTCACACATAGTAATAACGGGAATTGAACTGATCACTTAGTCACTATTTTTAACTGTTTTTTTATATTTTCACCTATGTGTATTAATAAGATGTACTGTAAAGCTCATTGTAGGTTCGGCCAGACATACATTACGAAGGCTAAATGGATAGAGACATTTACGGGATGAATCAAAAAATTGCTGCGAATTCGTTTCTGGTGCAGAAGCTTAATATCAGTCATTAACTTTCTGATAATTATTTCCATAATAATTCAAAAATAATAGCAAAAAAGCAAAAATGTAGAAGTTAAGAAATATTCAGTAACGAGAGTCTGCAGTACTGTAAATCGATTGGCAATAAATAAATTAAGTACACACCATTAGCAATAGTACAACAAACCAGCGATCGAAATAAGTTTTCAATGCAAATTCATTATGTTGCAATACACTAATGATCACTTTACCATGCGTTTACTTTATTGAATAAATTTTAATAAAGGAATTTTAATGTTCATACATGAATAGTCTACTGTAGTAATTATAATAGCAAACACACTTATTAATAACTTTGTGCATTTTTATGTTAATTAATTTATTCACTAAGAGACAATTAATAACAGTCATCTAATAATGCACTGATTTCAGTGGTGATGCTACTACCTTTTTAAAATATTAATGCCTGCAGCAAACACGAGAATATTATCCGGATGCTGTGGCTTTGTGAAGATAGTAACAATTATTCTATACGTAACTAATGAAATTAAAAAGACCACAGAATTCTAATAAGTTTTAGATGTTCCAGTTTCACTGAATACAATCGATTACAGATATATCCCTTTATGTTGGACATTTAGTTGAACTATTTTAAGTTTGAAAATTTATCCATGGCCGAGTTTCGTAGATACAAAATATGTCTTAGTTGTCTGTTGCAGCCTCATATGTCCACCGCAATAATCTACGGGTGGAAGTTTTTCGCTCCATGCTACTATTGTCGACAGTTTCATTCAAAACATAAATTATTGCAAAAGTTTTTCTTACGCTTTGTAGAATTTGTATATTGGCAATTTTTTTTTTTTTTTTACTACTTCTTATGACAATACCTTCTGTAGCAGAATACATGCCTTGTTTTGGCTGGTATTCAATCGTAGATTATAACATTTTCGTCAGGTTCTTTTTTGCCATAATATGTTTTGCTATGTCGCTCACTTTTTCTGTTGTTAAACGAAAAAGCTTAATCCAATAACCATATTAATGAAACCAGATAATTTGCCAATTGAAGATTTATACAAATCTATTCACAAAATTAGTGTCATCATGCGCATAATTTTGTTATGTGCCACTTGCTTTGTGCCAATTTATAATATTAAATTTGTATATCCAGCATTAGATAACACTAACAAAAACAATTTTATGATTCTCTTCTGTAGTGGGGAGTTTGGGGTTTCAGTGAACTTTATTATTGGAGGATTAATTCATTTTTTATTTTTTCTTTTATTTTTATACTTGATTATGAAGAAAGCGTTTCAAAAAGTATTAAATGATTTAATTCTACTTAATAAAAACAATTCAAATTTAAGTTTAAAATTAGAAGAGATAATGTTGCAACATGCCGAACTTTGGAACTTCCTCAATCAAATCAACACAAAATTAAGTTTATTACCTACAATATTGTATTTCACAGTTCTATTAGAAACCAGCCTCGCATATTATATAATTATATACGCAGAATTAAACACCATTATGAGTTTCATCGTTCTTCTGTTTGTCATTTTACTTTCAATCGTATGTCTTATAATGGGTTACGCGTGCTCAACATTAACGTCTACGGTATTTTATCACTTTTTTTTTTTCCAAGTTATCGATCACTTCCTTTTAATATGTTTAATAATTTTTTGTGTTTTTCAGATGCAGACCTCGTTTCAAGATATCCGAAGGTTTTCTGCATGCGATTTGTCGCTTGAACAGAAACTAAAAGTGAGTTTTACATTATCTTTTATTTATTATAACACATAATATCGAAATGCATCTTATTCATTCAGATTATGAACTTTATGAAGAGATTTGGAAAAGTGTCGTTATGTATATCAGTAAGAGGCTACTTCAATGTTACGAAAAAGTTTCCAGTGAAGGTATTTTTGCTTTTTAAATCTTTTATCTGCAAATTTATGTATAAACGTTTTTTACTTCATATATTGCATATGATTTATTTTATTTCAGATGGCCAACGCACTTCATTCTGTATTTTCTGGTTTTCTGAAACTCAGAACAGCCTCTGAAAAATGAAAATCTTTGATTTATGCTTATAACGAAGTTTTAAAACACGTTTTAAAATTTCATTTAATTTTTGTACAATGAACGAAAAATTGTTTCGTATTTTATCTGCAGTGCTCATTATAGAAAAGCTAAAATGCCAATATTATTTTTTTTATAGAAAAACCAAGCCGCACATTAAAATTATCTTTGTAGCATTCCTATTAACCGAGCCAAAATGTACCTGTTAGTTACTTTGATCCATAAAAAAGAAGTTTACAACAGTAACATGTATTTTGAAATTATTTGATTCTGTTACTTTTTGTCAATAAGAACTTTAATTTAAACACAAAAAAACATATATTTTTCGTCTGTTTTGCTATTTGTTTGGTTGTGAAACTTCCGAAGAAAACCGATAGTTATGTCATTTTAACTATTCAAATGGATGTGACTAAAAAACAGTGTAGGCTGACTCAGTAGTTAAAAATTAGAAACATAAACGTCTAAACATATCTAACTTAAATTACAGGAAAGTGTCCAAAACTTAACGCAGTGAGATATTCAAGATACAAAGTGCAAACCTGCTAAAATTGACAGGTTTTACTATAACTGTAGACAATTTTCCGCAACACATGTAATGGATCAGACTATTCTTCACATCTTTAGGCTTGAAACACTTATATCAATTAACTAGAACTTTTGCGTATTGTATTTTAGTGTTAAATATTTTAACGACGATAAATAAGGTAATAGAAGTAGAATAGAACCTGCTAATATAACACGATATCAATAATTCTATTTCTTACTTAATAATTATTCTCACACGNTTTGTGTATTAACTTTTTTCACTTCATATATTACACATGATTTATTTTATTTCAGATGGCCAACGCACTTCATTCTGTATTTTCTGGTCTTCTGAAACTCAGAACAGCCTCTAAAAAATGAAAATCTTTGATTTATGTTTATGACGAAGTTGTAAAACACGTTTTAAATTTTTATTTAATTTGTGTACAATGAACGTAAATTTGTTTCGTATTTCATCTGCAGTGCTCATTATAGAAAAGCTAAAATGCCAATATTATTTTTTTTATAGAAAAACTAAGCCGCACATTAAAATTATCTTTATAGCATTCCTATTAACTGAGCCAAAGTATACGTGTTAGTTGCTTTGATTCATAAAAAAGGAAATTTACTACGGTAACGTATATTTTGAAATTATTTGTTTCTGTTAATTTTTGTTAATAAGAACTTTAATTTAATCACAAAAAACATACAAAACGTTGACAGAACAACAGATAATGACACCGAGATATAAAAATGCTATTTGTTTGGTTGTGAAACTTCTGAAGAAAACCGATAGTCATGTCATTTCAACTATTCAAAAGGTTATGAATAAAAACAGTGTAGGTTGACTAAACAGTTAAAAATTAGAAACACAAACGTCTGAAAATATCCAACATAAATTACAGAAAGGTGTCCAAAATTTAACGCAGTGAGATATTCAAGATACAAAGTGTTAACCTGTCAAAGTTGACAAGTTGTACTATAACTGTAGACAAGTATCCGCAACACATATAATGCGATCGGACTACTCTTCACATCTTTAAGCTTAAAACACTTATATGCTATAAATTAATAGCACGATATCAATAATTCTATTTCTTACTTAATAATTATTCTCACACGCATATAAATTTTGTTAATGCAAAATTGAAAATATTATTATAGTACTTTAATTTCCTACGTTTAACTAGCGATTTTCTACACTACACTTTGAACACGATTGCATAGCAGTAAGAGAACACACGTTTTATCAATTATACGGGTGCCAATTATACACAGGAAATTTAATATAATTGTTATACACTCACCGAAAAAAATATATTTGATAAGTAGACGCAATATATATTTTGTGTTATATTTACGTAGCTTTATTATTACGTTCAATGCAATATTCTTAAAATTATAGTAGAGTAAATGTTTATTTAATGAGCTGTCTTGTTATCTTTATTATTTACAAGGAATTAAGTCATACAAACAACTGTTATAATCTAACTTCTAAAATATAATGTTTTAATGTCTTTGCTGTATCGAAATTAAAATTTTTTTTACATTTAAACTTCAGTATTTTATTTTTAACGGTACAAAGTATACTCAAACCTCGGTATTGTACTTTAATAAGCTTGGTAAAAAGGTGTGGAACGATCGTCAATTCAAATTAAAAAATAAAGAATCGAGAAGGTAAAGGTATTGAGCTGCTGTATAAAAGACCATTTTCCGATTTATCTTCAAAAGTTTAAATTATCAATACAGAATTATCAATGTCTAGCGTAAAGGACTGTATTTACAGTCTGTGCTTTGTATCAAGTGCATCAAGGAAATACAAAAACAATTTTCACGGAATGCGTAAGAGTAGTAATAATTATTTTTTAAAATTTTCTATTCTTTCATTTATATGGGCACAAAAAGAGTCTTTACTTTATCCATTATCAGGTCCACAACGGGAATGGCTTACGCTGAGGGACAAAGCTGTATACAGTGTTTTTCAAGTTTTTTGTTTTTAATCTTACGGCACAGTTGAACCTTTGAAGCATTGGAATTGCCTCGAAATACATTTCTCAATATTGATTTGGTAAATTGGATATTTTTCGTAAGTTGACCATTAAGTAGATTCAATTATTTGGTTTTTAACGGCACCTTTTCGATTTAGTTTATCTATACCAGGAATATATAATGACTCGACCAAGATGCTAAAATTTTCTTCAGGCTCATTATCTTTATTGTCAGCAATATTAATTCAAGAGAGCTTATTAATTAATCAAGAGATATCACCGTGTTCGAGTAGAAGATTCAAATTTTTTTTTCACTGATTTTATTAGTTTGCCAAACTCAGCAATTATTAATTATTGAATCATGTAATTTGCAACTGTACAATCTTTAGTATGTTGGAAGTTTATTAATGGGATTATTGATGCCGAATTATCAAAGATGCTAGAAAATTTGAGAAGTGATGTGCGATTAGAACGTTTCCTACATTGTTGTACATTTTGTACCAGTGCAAGTTTATGGTACAAATCTACAACAACGTAAAATTACTGTTGACATTAACAATAATACCATACGTGATTTATTATTGGACAATTCTACATAATAATCTGAAATTCTAGAGTAGATCTTGATCATAAAGTGTCAGAACACGCTGTACTAATACAAACAAAATAATGCAATAAATTCATTACGAATACTTTAAATCGGATTATTCTTTCATTTTCTAATTTTGTACAATAAAAAATTTGGATATTTTTTGTTTGCATTTATATATTTCCCTTTATTATTTTTAAAAATTTTATATAAATGCAAAGATTAGATTTACAAAAAGATACAAGAGCAACAAGGTTTAAAATAAAAATTAATTTCACGTTTTGTTTTATAACCAGTAGTGCAGTAAAATTCAGAAAAAAATAAANCCCTTTATTATTTTTAAAAATTTTATATAAATGCAAAGATTAGATTTACAAAAAGATACAAGAGCAACAAGGTTTAAAATAAAAATTAATTTCACGTTTTGTTTTATAACCAGTAGTGCAGTAAAATTCAGAAAAAAATAAACAATTACATTTGTAGTTGATTCGTTTTTGAAACCGTGTTTTCGTATTTATTTACTATTGAACACTGTGTTATTATTAAAACACAGTAAACAATTACATTTTAATATTTTAATCTATATATTGACCAATTTATTAATTACAATATAATTTATATTCATTTTCTGGAAATATGAGATGTGGATGAAAAATCACTTGCCAAATGGGTTATTCAATATTCTTATTGTTTCAGGTGCAATCAACACTAAAAGTGTTCATTCTGACTCCTGAACAACAACTGGCGCTTTGTTATCATCCAGGACACTGAATGTTTTCTTAAATTTTGCCAGAATATTGCCAACCGTTTGAGACGAAAATTTCGAAAGATCTGAGAAATGAAAATGAAATTTCTGTGCATCATACTGTGTTGTTCTATGATTGTCCCCACACAATCGGGGAACACAGAAGACTACTTCACTTGTTCTTCCGGGGTCAGAATGAATACTTTCGTCCTTTATAGCATTTGTCAAGCGACGTTTTGGCCACACTGTGTTTTATAACAAAAATTTTACAATCGAATGTCAGAAATTATTGAACTAACTGCTTGCCAAACTTCTTCGCCCACAGGAATTATCTCTCTAGTACTTATTTGCCATCCTTTGACTCCTTTGTCTCGCAATTCAAAGCCAAATGAGTATTTTATATTTAGTGCCCCATATGCCCAATCTACCGAATTTCCCGTGGCAATACCTGAATAAGAATTGTTTTAATGTTAATGTTATTAAAATAAAATTACTAAAATTATAAGATTTACATAAATCTCTGACATTTATCTACACTCCTCAAATGCCAAATTGCAATTCCACTAAGGAATGCAAGTAGCAATGTGCGTATTGCTGGAACGTTAACAATGGACGAAGAAATGCACGTAACCACGTTGTTCGAGGCTACGTGTATTCCTTCGTATTGCTGCAATTTTACTTTTGAGCAATGTAGATATATCCTACTTACCCACTATTTCATTTATGCTGTCAGACTTATACTGTGCTCCAGAAGATTTTCTAATAGCTTCTGCTGCACGAATTCCAACATGTTTCTTCAATTAAAAAATAAAAGTACTGTATTAAGTATAGCAGCAATGTCATAAGAGTATATCTAAAACTGATAACAGCTTACTAGAGTATCATAGTCGTCGCAATGCTCTTCTCTGGAACCCCATGGAAACATTATAAATTGTCCATAAGAATGTAAGGTTAAAAACAGTTTTACTCTTTCTTTAACTTCCGTTAAGGTTCTTGCTATAGCTTTAGTTTCTAATTCTGACATTGGTTCTGGTCCCCTATATTGATCCGTATTTGGATAGCGAGACAATACGTCCGCTATGTATGAAATTTTGCCAAATTGTTAATATTACTTTTAGTATAGCGTGCATCAGAAACAACTGACGGTTTTTAAAATTTAATTCTCAAGATTTGGTAGTCATTTACAGAACGCCATTTTCAAGACAGCCAAGATACATATTTATTCTCCATTAAAAAGATTATCTCCGCAGAGAAAAACATATTTACCATTTCCCCTGAAGTATTACGTTATTATAAAAACCGGCAAGTGTATCTGATGCACTCTGTATATAGTATATAAGATTTATATAAATCATTCGTACTGTTAGGGGTGTTCCAGTCAAATGGAAAATTTCGGTTCAGGTCAACTCCTTCTTTATGTATTCGACTTTGAGAACGATTCTTTCTCCAAAAACGCTAAATTATTCGGATAAATTTTTAATAGAGAATTACATTTAACATTTAAATTTTCAATTAATATACTTGCGTCATGTTTGAATGTATAATCGTATCCATCTGGATTGACTAAGGGCATGATATACCAGTCATAAGTATCTAACAATTTTCTCACTTTCTTATTAGTTTCATATGAATTCAAAATCTAATTTTAAAATTTATTTTATTCACGTTAAATAGTTAAAATGTAAAAAAAATATTTTATATAATTAGATATACTTTAAATATGATATACATAGCTGTGGCTGGTGCAATCCACTCTCTTGCATGTATTCCGCCATCAATCCATATAATTGGTTTGTTGGCGTTGCGAGGACCAGTTGATAACTACAATTAAAATACTTCTAAATAAAAATACATTGATACGGTATATTAATTATAAAATTACATTATCATATGATTATTGTATTAATATCTTTGTACAGGTTGAATTCTTTTAATCCGGCATTTTGTGGTCCTGCACATTTTGGATATTTGCTGCCACTAATTCGTTCATATGCTATGTTTGTGATATTTAAAAAAAATTAATTAATGAAAAGCCAAGGTAACAGAAGCAAGCTAAATTGCAGTAAAAGTCAATAATAAGTCATTTTGAAGAGTAAATTCCACTGTGCTGCGCCACCCTCTATTTATTGTTTACAAGTATCTGATAAATGACCTCTAATTACTGCATACCTTGATGACTCTGCTGATTTTTGATACAATCTGAGCTACAGAAACTATAAAGTATTTTTCGTTATAGACTTTATATTACACGAAACAACAACAGCAAAAATGGCCTCGTTTGGAAGCGTTAATAGTTGTGTTATTTACTGAAGTGTGGTCCTATCTTCGATAATACTGCAACATGTGTATGAAGAAGCATATTATTATGTAGGTTGTTTCCTTAGGGGTCTTTACGATCAAATTTTTTTCAATCTGGCATATTCTGTACTCTAGCAATGGTCAGATATCATGGTAATCGGATTAAAAAAATTCAACCTGCTTTAATATGCTGTATGATGCTTTTATGCTGTATTAATAAGATATGTTTTTCATAAATTATATCTGTAAGCAGAGAGTATATGAAATTTTGCTTACTTTGACTAGTTTGAGTTCGTTTCCGCGGAAAGTTCTTCCAACAGTTACTACTTGAATTTTTGGTTGAAAGTGATAAAGTAACTGGCCTAAATAGTCGTAAAACTAAAAAAGAACGTAATATACATAATATTTTCATTGTCTATGATATAATAGAGTTAAGTTATTGATACTTACCGCATTCTTCTTTTGAAATTTACGGAAGAACGATAGTAAAGATCTTTTCTGACGTTTTGGCTCGGGGCTGTTTAAAAGTTCATTCTCTTCGTCGATCAATCTAAAATTAAGAAATACAATTATCTTTTTATTGTATTTATAAATAATAACTCGTTTTGTGGCCAAATGTATAAACAGTAGAGTCTCGATACTTCAAATCATTGGTTTCGTTCGAAAGTTCTGTATAGTTTGAGGCACTACACCCTTAAGCCAGCGTACAGTACTAATGCAGAGCGTGTAAAAATTACTTATTTGGGTAATTAAAATCATGTGTATGATGAGACAATATTCACCGAAATCGTAAGCAAACCGAAAGCTTTTAATTTATTACGTTGTGAAATGTGTCTGACAGCAGAGCCGGTGCCTCCCGTGACAAGACGTTCATTTGACACCCATATTCTCCTACATAAAATGAGAAAAATTTTGTTTTTAAATGCCATACAAATTAGATGTGCGAAACCTTGCTCCGTCAATCAATAGTTAACACTCGCCATGTAATATAAGTATAAATATTATAAATAATAATAATAATACGCCTTAACATTTCGTATAAATTTATAAAAATTTTCTACCTTTCCCATTTGCCATCCCTGGCAAACGAACAGATACTTCTACATACCTTTATCCGTTGCTCCGTATTATATAGAACATTATGTATTTCAACAGCAATATAATATTATATTTATCCTTTCTAAAACGATGTTTTAATATAATAGATTAACATTATTACTGTTTTCCATTGTTTATATATTTATAATTCGATAGATTGAGGTTGTGTCATTTTCGATCAACTCGGACTATTGTATTATCATTTTTTATTGTTTAAATTAGTGTTAACCAATAGTGAAACACATTAGTTAGACATATATTTAAACAGTATTTATTAATAATTACATTAATTTTCTTACCTTTGTACATCATTAGTAAGAAGAGAAAAATCTATTTTATTTGCAGTGAAACTTTCATTAAACAGTAGCAATTTTTCAGGAGGAATCATTATATCTACTGGTTTTCCAATAACTCCAGGATTAGTCCAAAAATCGAACTAAAGTATAAGCAACATTCAAAAGAAACTTACAATAAAGTTAAAATACATTAAAGAATTTAAATTACCTCAACATCATTGCGAAGCCATTGAAGAAATTTCAGATCGGCTTCATTGGATGGTGTGACACGAAATACAGAATATCTAAGAGACGTTTAATTACATTAACATCATTTATAATTAAAAATACGAAAAATGAAATAATCTACCCATCATATCTCTTTGGAGGACCGTCATCGTCGTCACTATTAATTGCAAAAGAGCTTGCAAAAATGCACAGTGTTAATAAAATAGTCTTCTTTTGCATCGTAAGATGTAAAAATATTAAAATGAAAAATAAAATGTAGTTTTATACTGAAATATTAGGTCTTTGTCATGATGACTTTAATTAATAAGCGTTAAGGATATATATATATAATGAAACTAATGTTACAATTACGTTTTAAAATTTTAAAAAGAAGTTATACAATTATATCTATTGAAGCTTAAACAAATTAAATAATAACTTTTATATTATTAATTATGATAAAAAGGCATAACGGGATAAAGATAAACTTATAAAAATATTATAAATATACTGTATAAATTCTTTAATTCAATGTATGACTAATAATTTTATTTGACTGTTTCTGTTTATAAGCATTAATTTATGTTTTAAATGTACATAAGGGACGTGATGTTAATAAATTTTGGTGGTTAATGTTTGTTAAGTTATGGCAATGCAACACTTGGGCTATCTGCCTAGGAGGGATACATTCCGGGAGGTCTTTTTAAGGGAAACTGGCGCCTTATTTAGGAGTTACAGACGTGGAGAAAACCCGGAAAACTACACGTGGCCAGCCTGTCCGAGCGAGGCACGAACCCACGACCAAACTCTCAGTGTTCAGGGTACGAAGACCGCTTGGCCACTGGTGGGCGTTTTGGTGGGTAAAGGTCGAGGAATGGAGAGATAGAGATGGACCATGTTTAATATTTCGCGAGGGGGACGGATTAAATAAAAATTTAAATCGTTATCGACATTTATAATATTTTTATAAGTTTATCTTTACCCATTATGCCTTTTTATCGTAATTAATAATATAAAAGTTATTATTTAATAGTAAATAATAATAAATTAATAGTAATAAGTCCAGCATCCGGTATGGAGATATAATCAAAATGGAGAGACTAATTATTAAATCAGTAATTAAGAAAAAAGGTAGACAAATATTTTTATTGTCTAAAAAATTTAAATTAAAAAGTAGAAATAATAATATTGAAAATAATAATATTGATGAAAATAATATTAATAGAAATTATTAGTAACATATTAAAAAGAATATCAAATTAAATAAAAATTTTGATTACCCTTTAACCGCAGAGAAAGAAGAATGGTTAAAAAAATTAATTATAAAATTAACAGACGTTGAAGTACCAAAAGATTATCTACATTTATTATCATATGGAAGTAATATGAATTTACCTATATTTACAAAAACAATTGAAGTTGTGGCCGAAATAGAAAGTACAGTCGACTCCTATAACACTGTTGAGAATTCCGTTTTATATGAATTCCATGTTGTACGAGTCGCTTATATTTTACAAATACGTGTGCCGGGCTGTGAACGGCTCACGTATTTGTAAAATATAAGTGACTCGTACGACATGGAATTCATATAAAACGGAATTATCAACAGTGTTATAGGGGGGTCGACTGTATTATTCAACGAATCTCAGGAAAACAAGAAGATAAAAATCAGTTAAGAAAAAATTTAAGTAGAGATCTTCAAAAATATAAAGGAAAAGGTGAGTACAAAAATTATATATTAGATAAAAAGGCAATTAAAATAAATAAAAAATAAACAAATTTTTATTATAAAAGCAGATAAATCTCATGCACATATAATTATTAAAAATTCAGACTTACAACAAAAGAAAAAACAAATAGTAGCTACAGATGAAAATGAAGTTTTACCCAGTGATCCAATGGAAGATATTAAAAAGAAACTAATTAAATTAATGAAAACATATAGAAAAGAGTTTACAAGTCAAGATTTTAAGAAGATAGTAAATTTTAATAATGTACGTATCCCACAACTTAATATTAGACTTAAAACCCACAAGGTGGGACAGATTTTTAGACCATTAGTGGATTTTAAATTCTCAGTACTATATAATTTGGAACATTATATAAAAAATTATTTGCAGTGTATACGTGACTCTAAATATACCATAAAAAATGCAGATCAATT